ATCTATCTATCTATCTATCTATCTATCTATCTATCTATCTATCTATCTATCTATCTATCTATCTATCTATCTCATTATATCAGCTATCTGTTATCTCTATCATCTTACCAACTATCTATCCACCCACCCATCTATAGGTATTCATACATACATATTATCTATCTGTCTGTCTATCTTTGTCTATGTCTGTCTGTCTGTCTGTCTGTCTGTCTATCTATCTATCTATCTATCTACCTATCTATCCATCCATCCATCCATCCAGGGGTGGATTCTACTGGTTCGGACCAGTTCGAGTGAACCGGATGTTAAATTTGCATCTGATTCGCTGAACTGGTATCTGAACTGACTGGCTAGCCCTGCCCACCCTCCCTTCCCAGGAGTCTCCATGAGCCCATTTTCGATGCAGGTTAGTACAGGGTCTGTGTGGAGATCTTGGGAGGGGGGAAAATGGGTGGTCCGGAAATACCAGTAGTACCAAAACGGACCTGTTTCCAGCTTCCGGAGGGCCTCCAGAGCCCGGGGGAGGCTGTTTTCGCCCTCCGAGAGACCCAAGGGAAGCCTCCAGAAAGTCCACTCAAAAGTCCACTCGAAACCACCAAAAGTTCTGGTAGGCCACGCCCACCATGGCCACACCCACCCAGCAACTGGGCAGCGAACCGGTTGCTGGGATTTTTGAATCCCAGCCTATCTATCTATCTATCTATCTATCTATCTATCTATCTATCTATCTATCCAGTTATCCATTTACCTATCTATCTATTCCATAACCATAGGTATCCATAGGTATCCTAGTTAATGGTTTTCTGTCTCCTTTTCTTCAATAGTTGCGGAATGCCAGGATCAAGTTTGAGCATGATGGAGAAAAAAGGTACATTTATTTACTTTATTTATTCATTAAATTTCCCCCTTACAAGTGACTCGGGACCTGGGTCTATCAGGTTTAGATATTTTGCTTGTTTTTGCTGAACCTCAAAAACCGTAACTCATATGTAAATAAAGTCCAACATTCTTTCCTTTATTTGGGTGTTTTCCTCAGAAAGTTTTCCTCCTTCAAGTATCCATACAGAATGATTATATAGTACTGAAATGTGGGTAATATTTTCATTTATTCCCTCATGCTTAGGTGCCGCTCCCATTGAAAATTAATTTAATTTAATTTAAAGCATTGAATGTGGTCCTTCTAATCAATTTTGCAACTTTGGATGGTGGACGGTAGATGGAACCAAAAACAAAAGAAAGAGTCTTAGTTAAAATCCAAATTATTACTCAGCAAATGACTCTTTGCAGCCTACATTCTTCATTCCAACCGCGATAAGATTAAAATGCAGCTGTACCAATTTGTTAAATGCATTTGTTTTGTTAAGAATTGAATAGAAGGGCAGAATTTCTCAGCCTTGGATGAAAAGGCACGACTACTAAGGTAGTCCTCGTCTTATGCCCACAGTTGTGTCTGAAATTTTTGGTGCTAAGCAAGACAGTCGTTAAGTGAATTTTGCCCCATTTTATAACCTTACTTGTCAAGGGAGACGCTGCAGCGGGTTAGTAACACGGTTATTAAATGAATCTGGCTTCCCCATTGACTTCCCTTGTCAACGGTCCTAAAAAGGGATGACATGAACCCTTAGCAACCGTCATACATATGAGTCAGCTGCCAGGCATCTGAATTTTGAACACATGACCATGAAGATGCTGCAACGGTCGAAAAGGGTCATAACTCACGTTTTAGTGACTGTTGTAAATTCGAACCGTCACTAAATGAACTGTTGTAAGTCAAGGACTACCTTGACAATATTGGTAGGATGGTATTAACTGTTTTCCAAAACGCATCCTCCTCCTGCAGGATTATCCAGTTCCAGAGGCCGGTTAAGTACAAAGATGTTTTGCAGAAAGTCATGGATGCTTTCGGGCAGTTGATGGATTTGCATTATGCTGAGAATGAGGTACCTCGTATGTTTTTTTTCTGTCTTTGCTGTTTTCTTCCTCTTCTACATGGCATCTGTCAGTCACAGTCTCCCAGACTAGTATATTTTAAAAGCCATTGCAAAAAAGACTTCCAAAATGTAGGGAGTTGCTTTTAGCCACGGATACCCAACATTGGCAACTTTGAGACTTGTGGAATTCAACTCCCAAAATTCCCCAGCTAGCATGCTTTAAGATGGATGGACTTTAGCTTCCAGTATTCCCCAGTGAACATGCTTTAAGATGGGAGGACTTCAAACTCCCTGAATTCCCTGGCCAGCATGCTTTAAGATGGGTGGACTTTAGCTTCCAGTATTCCCCAGTGAACATGCTTTAAGATGGGTGGACTTCAATTACCAGAATTCCCCAGCCAGCATGCTTTAAGATGAGTGGACTTCAACTCCTAGAATTCCCCAGCCTGCTTGTTTTAAGACGGGTGGACTTCAACTCCCAGAATCTACCAGTCAACATACAGTACTTTAAAATAGGTGGACTTCAACTCCCAGAATCCCCCAGCCATCATGGTTTAAGATAGTTAGACTTCAACTCCCAGTATTACCCGGCCAACATGCTTTAAGATGAGTGGACTTCAACTCCCAGAATTCCTCAGCCAGCATGTTTGGCCAGGTAATTCTGGGAATTGTAGTCTACAGGTCTTAAAGTTGCTGTGGTTGGATACCTCTGCTTTACCCAATAGATGTTCTGCACAGTTGGAAGTTCTAAATGGTCCATTAAAAATATGTAAGTAAATAAACCTGAAGAATGCTTTTAGTTTTGAGATGGTGCTTTTGAGAGCTTATTCTGGATTTCTGCCCCTTTATCCACTCCCTTTTAGCTCCATGGACTTGAGTCCTGGTTTAAACAAGGAGAGGAGCAAAGCCATGAGTCAGCATTTGGAAGCTTTTGTTGCCTTCCTGCCTTATATTAATTTACTTTATTCAGTGTCTCAGATCCAGGAAAGCTGTGCTTGTTTCCTGAATTTGCAACGTGCCAACTTAATACTCCCGGTTTGCATTCATCTAAATTTAGGTCAGTATCTGGTAGAAACTGTCCGTGTGCAATGACAGTTTCGTTGGCATGGAGAATCCAATTTTTTCCTCAGGTTTTGGCAACGGGCAGGCCACACCGAGCATACTTCTCAACGGGAGGTTTTTTGAGGCTGGCTGCAAGGGTCCACGAAGTCCTGGAAAACAGAAGGAAGGCTGTAGGATATTTTTATTTCCAGATTTTGAAAGATTAATGGACATTCCAAGGAAAGGCGGGGGGGGGGGGAGAGGGGCAGCCCTGGAAGTGATTTGCAGCCGATTGCCAGAATAAGTGGTTAAACAAATTCCAAGTAGGGGATGCGTGAGGGAAAATAAATTGTACAGCAGTTCTAAGAATGTAAATTTAATTCTTGATTGCCCTTTGCTGAAAAAAAAAGGGGGGGGGAAACCTTCTTTGGAATTGGACTCCCTTGCCAGGTTAAGCTGAACTCTGCCACGGATTCTAATCCGAGCAGGAATTGACAGCTGATATTCTTCTCAGTTTAATTTCTATTCCCTGCGGGAAATGCTTCAACCAAACTCCTGAGGAGAACAGCCAGAAACTTCTGAGGAGAAATTGAAGGATATAAAAGAGGCAAGGGTATCCCCATCTATTCCATTCTGCACCACCAAGAAGTGCCCTCACAGAGCATGCCTCAACCTTTACAGGTCTATCTATACAGGTAGTCCTCAGTTTACGACCCGAATTGAGCCTGGAATTTCCACTGCTAAGCAAGATGGTTGTTAAGTGAGTTCCTCCCCCATTTGCTTGTCAGAAGGTCATGACCCCAGGAGTCTGCCACCGTCATAAATATGAGTCAAGCGTGCAAATTTTGACCATGTGACTATGGGAAATGCCACAACGGTGTTAAGTGTGAAAAACGGTCCCATGTCACTTTTTTCACACACACACAGAGACTTCATATTTTGTGTTTCAAACATTACTGCGCCATTCACAGACTACCCCTAATAAAAGTACCACCACGGCTCCAACTCGGTGGCAAGGTATTGAGTTTTAGATGACTTGAGTAAGTGAGCCAATTTCTATGTGCACGAGGAAAAAAAAGTGCAAAAAAATTTAAGAAAGGATTTTAAAAACTTGAGACAGTGTTAAGAAATCTGAAAAAACATCACTGGCATTCCAGTAAGATTCCCTGAATGGAAATACGGAGACCGTGAGTAACTTAGCTTATTTACAGCAGAGGTGAGACCTGCGCCACACACATATTGTGATCTCTTTATGGATGAATCTTGGCTTAGAACTACCTTCTAAGTTCAAATTTATCCTGCAAAATTCTAATCCAAAGGAAGTGGCATACTGTAGGTTCTAGCCCAAGCGTAGGCACAAAGTCAGCTAGATCAGTGCTCGCCAGTTAGTGGTCTGTGAGAAAATTTTGGTGGTCTGCAGAGAAAAGTCCCCCCCACCCAAGCACTCCCCCCCAAAGCAATTAATCCAGGCTGTGCAGGAACACAAGGCTGCGCCGCCCACATGGCCAATGGGAACACAAGGCTTGCGTCGCTTGCATTGCAAACAGCACGAAGTAGTGAGGGGAGGGGGGAAAGGGAGGAACTTGCCCCATGCACCTGGCCTGACCACCGGCCTGCTTTTTTCCTCTTCTTTCTTTTTCTGCTTTTGGCTGCACACAAGGAAAGCAGCAGAAGTCTTTCTTTCTCTCCCCCAAACTCCGCCAGAAATGAGTCTTTGGGACCCTGCAAGGCCTCCTGCTCCAAGAGGCTGTGCCAGCAAAGACTCATTTCTGGCAGAGTTTGGGGGAGAGAAAGAAAGACTTCTGCAGCTTCTGCTGCTTTCCTTGCATGCAGCCCAAAGTCTCTCTCCCCCCTCCCCCCTGGAGAATGGAGCTGGAGACAGTATCCTGCAATCCCAAATAAAGAACGATCGATCGGTAGGAAAACGGGGTGGGGAATTTCCCTGCAGACTATTTGGGGGATTTTCCCAGGGTCTCTGATCCGCGGGATTTAAAATTATGAGTTTGGTGGTCCCTGAAGTCCAAAAGGTTTGTGACCCCTGAGCTAGATGGTGTTGAGCCAGCCAGTTTCTCTCAGCCCTCGGAAAGAGGCAATGGCAAACCACTTCTGAAAAATCTGGCCAAGCAATGATCTGTCCAGACAGTCTCCCAAGAACTGGACACAATTGAAAGGAAGAATCTTCGTGTCAGAATAAAGCCCAAAGGGGCCTTGGAGGTCTTCTAGTCCAACCCCCTGCTCAAGCAGGAGACCTTAAACCATTCCAGACAAGTAGAAAACCTCTGGTGATGAAGCACCCACAACTTCTGGAGGAAAGCTGTTCGCCTGGTTGATTATTCTCACTTGTCTGGAAGTTTCTCCTTCTAATTCTTGGTTCTCTCCTTAATTAGTTTCCATTGTTTCTTGTCCTACCTTCGAGTGCTTTGGAAAATAAATTGACACCCCCCCCCCTTCTTTGTGGCAGCCCCTTCAATACCGGAATGCAATATGGTCGGGAAAAAATAAACTTTCAAAAATCAATGAAAAAAACAATTCCGGGCAGCCAGATGTAACAGCCATAATGATGTAACCACTTCAGAAATCAAATACGGGCGGTCCTTAACTTACAACCATCATGGAGCCTCTGCCCATCTCAGTTGCAATGATCACTAAGCAGGTTGGTCATGTGATCAACTCCGTTTTATGTCCCCTTTTTGGCAGCTGGCAACCAAGGGTTTTCTATCAGCACGAAACCTGGAAGTGGCTGCCAGTTTTCTGCAAAACCGTCATAAAACCCAGTCACGTAACCAGGGGTACTTGCCAACCGCCGTAAATGCAGCCTCTTGCCAATCACCTGAAGTTTTATGGTTGCAAGGAGGAAGGCAGAGACTATCAGAAACTGCAAATCTGGGTCATAAAGGGAGGTCTCTCAAAACTTCTAACAGTTCATAAGTTGAGGACCGTCTGTGAAGCCGTTGCATATTTCTTTCTGGGTTTCTCAGAATTGCATTCGAAATGAATTGCAGAGAATTGCATTGTATTGAAGGATTGGTAGTCCTTAACTTACAGTCCTTCGTTTAGTGACTGTTCAAAGTTACAAAGGCATCGGAAAAAAGTGACTTATGACTGATGCTCACACTTATGACCGTTGCAGCAGCCCCGTGGTCATGTAATCAAAAAACCAAAGGCTTGACAACTGACTCATATTTATAACAGTTGTGGGGGGTGGGTCACACACACCCCTTTTGCAACCTTCTGACAGGCAGCGTCAAACGGGGAAGCAACAGTCTCACTTAACAACTGCGGGATTAACTTAACCGCTCCAGCGATCCGCTTAGCAACTGTGGAAGAAAGGTCTTAAAATGAGGGAAAAACTCACTTAACAACCATCGCACTTAGCAACAGAAATTTAGGGGGGGGGGGGTTGATTTATTCAATCCAGGGCTTTTCTTTCCAGCAGAACGAGAGGCGCTTGTGGTGGACATCCTTTCCTAAGTAATTGTTTGGAAAACTTTTATGCAGTTCCTCCTTGAGAGAATGTTATGATGGAGTAAAAAAAGGTTATAGCCCCCGGTGTTCGTTTCTGTTTTCCAGTCGAAACTTCCAACGGCTTTGCACCCTCCTGGGTTCAGCAGCCTCCAAACCCCTGTCATTCCCAAGCCCCCCCCCCCCCCCCCCCCACCCCCCCACACCCCCACAGAGTGGCCTTCAGCCACTTCCTGTCTTTTCTCTTGTTTTGCGACTCAGCCGCCTGGCCTGTGTTTGTTCAAATCTTTTTCCAGCTCCTGATTCCCCTGAAATCGCAGGAAGATTTGGACCGAGCAGTGGAACATTTAGACCTAAGCCCTTCCCTGAAAAGTTTGAGGGTGTTTGTGAAAACTCCAAAGGAAACAAATGTGAGACCTGTTTTCTTTTTCTTTTCTTTTTTTTTCCCCCCCTTTTATATTCGTCCACTTGTATTTGTGTACAAAGCAAAAAGGCCACATGGTCACCCAAAGGAGCGGAAAACCCTCGTACCTTTTGATGATTACAAAGTTAGAAGATTCCCCTCTGGGAATCGGTGCTTGGCCGCCTCACTTTTCCAAACTTATTTGCACGGGAAATCTCTTTTTTTTTTTTTTTTTTTTGCAGGTAGTCCTCAACTTGCAAATATTTGTCCAGTGACCGTTCAGTTACAACGGCGCTGAAGAAAAGTGACTGGCGGCCGTTTTTTCACACTTTTCCCCGTTGCAGCATCCCCACAGTATCAAAATTCGGAGGCTTGGAACCTGGCTCATATTTATGACGGCCGCAGTGTCCCAGGGTCACGTGATCTCCTTTGGTGACCTTCTGATAAGCAGAGTCAAAGGGGAAGCTAACTGCATAACAGAGTTGGAAGGAACCTTGGTGGTCTTCTAGTCCAACCCCCTGGTCAATTAGGAGACTATATTGTGGTTGTCCAATCCTTTCTTTAACATTGGACAATCTTTTCTTAAAGAGATATATCATTCCTTCTTCCCTCCCTCCCTCCCTCCCTCTTTCCTTCCTTCCTTCTTCCCTCCCTCCCTCTT